TCATTATGTTTGGTATTTCCTGTTGAACCATCAAAATGATGCGAAAAGAAAATGTATTTCTGACAGAGAGCATGGACCACTAAAAGTAGGCTACCTAATAAGGATCGGATTCTGTCTTTGAATTTACACTATGTGTTTGGGAGCACATACAGTAAAGATGCACGCTCAAAAAATACATACCGACTAGAAGCAAATTAGCAGGCTGATTGTGCAGGTTTCCTTCCCACCAAGATGCTCGGGGAAAAAACATAACACAAACCTAAAACAATGGAACTAGGAAGCGGTTCTTCAGTCATTTTACATTTCAAATCACTGCACACACTTACACACGCTAAAAATAATCATTTACAAAGAGATGGCATACAACATGACTTAACAAACAGGAAGCACATAATATAAACACTTAGACATTTCAGTGATTGAGAAAACACAGTACCTATTTAAATACTGTGTATTATTAATGGAATCAGGGGCTTCTTTTTTAGTAAAATGTACTACAGCATCAATTATTCATTGTCATAATAATAATAAAGAGATTATGAAATTTTATTGTTACTTGTAAAGTCAGAGGTCAGCCCCAGCGACTGAACAGCACACTTAGGCTGCAGCTAACAGGGCAGATGCTTGCAGTCATTATGAAAGTGAATAACATGATTGATTCTGGCAAACAAACTTGGCAAGTTTTCATGCAGATGATCTATGACTATTGTGTAATTGTTGTGAATGCCAGCTCAGGCATCAAGCCTTTACCTGGAATTGTGTTGTTTCCATGTTCACTATTCAGGGAAGAGTCTCTACTAATCTCTGAACAAACAGCATCCACCCAAAGGTATTTCCAATCTTGTCTTGTATGACTGCTCGTGTATGTGATACCTGGGACAGATCACACCTTCACAAATGTATATGTGACATTGAAGGCAACTATGCCAAGAACAGACTGTGATAATCTTGAAAGACGCTGAGAATTCATGCAGCAGCAGCTCTGGGCTATTAAACTCTAAAAAGGTTCTGTCCTTTTTTGAGATTTTTGGTCACTAAATGAAACATGTGTTAATGCATCAACAGTAGATACTGTTTTATCTGATGTGGGGCTTCCGGTTGTCTTATCTGGCTTGGCTGAAACTCCGGAAAGTCCCCTTTTATCCCAAAGGCCTTTTCACCAGACCACCGTGATGGCCTTCACCGGCTCTACAGTACAGTATGTGGTATCTCCGAACATCTGCGGATGTTTGGCCTTAGACTGCATATACTGACAGCCCAAAGGGACCAACGGGACAACATTTAGAAAAGATCCATCTCTTTGGATTTATTGAAAAACAATCTTGACGTCACAATCAGTGGGATGCATTCTTTTACTTCACTTTTTAGCAACATGTGAAAACACGAAAGTTATACTCCTTAAGTGATGCACATCTGATTCACATGGAAAAACTCCACAACATCATGTGACTACTAATGGAATGTTTTTGTTGTTTCTGATCTACTGTTTAAAATAATGTAATATTTACACAATTACCAACTCTGTAAAGTTACAGAACAAGAGAGGCTACTATTTTAAATTATTTTCCAGGCTGCATTTTGTTGAGACCGACATGTTTTTGCCCTATCGGTAGGAAAGTCAAGTTTTCCATTAGGAAAGAAGACTGAGTGTTGTGTAAGAATGTGTGTATGTCAGGACCTTCTTAAACATGCTGAGCTGTCTCACTGCTCATCTCTAATCTCTGTCCCTATACTATCAAGAAACTAGCAGATCTGCCTGCCACTGCTCCTGAAACCAGCACACAGCTGAGTCAGCTGTTTTAAAAAGGGCATGGCGTTGCATAACACTCTATATTTCTATCTGTGTATGCTGTGTATGCTACATATTGGTCTTGAAAAAAAAGCATGTAATATTTCAACAATTAAATTAATAGTTGAGACGAGATCATAAGACAGAAATATGAAGAAGATAAATATGGAGCCAGCTTAGCTCGGCAAAAACTGTGGAAATGGGGAAACAGCAATACAGGCTCTGTACAAAGGTAATAAAATCTGCCTGCAGCTAATTCACATCTTATATCTCTTTTTTAAACCTGGTCTCCGCTGGTTACCTGACAACTTGTCCCTGCCATGAAATAGTGTAGCACATAGCATCGAATTGTTCTTTTAACTCTTTGGTTTCAGTACTAATTAAACAAACAAGATATATCATGCTACTTGGTGAACTTTGGAGGTGTTGGTAGGTAGACTTTGTGACCTTTGGGCAAGCCAGCCTCGCTGTTTTCTCTTGTTCCAGTCTTTATGCTAAGCGGCTGTTGGCTCCAGCAACATATTTAGCGTATCAATAGTCTCATCTAACTCAAGAAAAACACAGGAAAATGAATATGTGCATTCCCCAAAATCTATTCCTTTAATATTTGTCTTGCGGTCCTTCCAAATAAATAAATTATCAGCAAAAGATATTTTCTCTCAGTTTCTTTTTGGTGAACCTGTAAAATTGTTACCTGATGTTATTGAAAGGGTCTGGAAATGCAAATCAAATGTTATAAAAAAAAAACAGTTGAAAGTTGTTGTATGGTGGTCATGAATCACATCTCTCGCCCATCTCTCTTTCACTTCTCGTGCTGTAGCTCAGTTCCTGTGTAGTTGCTTTCACATACAGCATGCTGGTCTTCAGGTCTGCTTCAAGTGTAAAACACCCTGAAATTGTTGTTAACAGAGAAATTAAAGCAGAAGCTATGAATGTCACCCTGCATTTAGTCCGACGTCATAGACTGAGTTTCAATTAGCACTGTAAACTCTGACTGACTTCCAAGTGTCCCCGGCACTCACTGTCATGCCATGTAGGCATGTTTTTACAAGTTTAATAAATGCAGATCATTGGGCCCCAGCTAAGGTTGAAATGAACTTCATTAAACTCTAAAGTAAATAAGCAGACAGACACAGCCAAGATTAAACTGACTTTAGGGGAAAGGTATGATCATATATATTGTGTTTCAAGAATGTCAGTGGTAAGCGAGTTTCAATTCTAGTCTTTGTAATTTGTGTCATTCTAGATTATGATTGATGATATTGTTGATCTGTAGTTACTTAAATGCCCAGGATGTGACGAAACAGTCGGAAGAGCCTTCACAGCCTGCAGACTTGAAAGGAGGATCTTGTCATGTACACACAAAATTATCTTTTTTGAGCCTAAACTAAATATTTTAATAAACAAAGAGCTTGTGTATAATTAGCTAAACTGTGCTGGCATGTTAATATAGGCTACCCCTAGCTCCTAAAAAAAAATGTCAAAGGTGTTTTTTGACATGTTGCAGTGTTTATTGCAGTGGGGTATCCAACAAAATTTAAGCTACTCTTGTTTTTGAATGTTTCAAAATCTTCCATTCCATTGGTTTATTAAAAGAACAGGTTAGTGCTTGCAGTACCACAAACTTCACAGTTATACAGTCATTTTAAGTAAGCAAAGCACTACAGATATGTAAGAGTGCAAATGTCTAAAAAGTAGCTGCTTGAGTTTCTATTTGACTTGTATTTGCAGGAGCATAAAACACACACTCTCTCACACACACATACTGAGAAAAGCAGCCTTGGGCAATTAGTACCATGATGATGCAATATATTGTTTTCTTGCATAAATTCCCACAAAGCTGTCAACTTGTTAAACCACAAGTATGTGAAGGTTTGAGTCAATGTCTTTCCATTTCTCACACCTTCTAATCAGGTTCATGCAGTGTATGACTCTGCACTCTGATGGAAAGGAATTACAATAAACCATGCTACCTCTGTCTGAGGACCTGTGACTCTACTTAAACACTAATCAATATATGTGTTCCTTTTTTTGATCTTTGCTCCTCACAGCATCGACAAAGAAAACAGAAAGCATCACCTGAGCAAACATTCAAGCAGTCAAGTTCTGGGCATTGACACAGATTACCTTTAGGTGCATGTCCTACCACAACTAATCACCCTATTTTAACTTTATCACCTCTTCATTTGCGGAATTGATTAACTCTATCTCATCGAATACACTAAAGACATCTTTGGGCCTTGAACTGTCAAACAGGTTCTTAGGTGTGGTGGGGGTAGGTTATGTATCACATTCTTTGAAGTTATGTGATTGGCACCCTAAACAAAAAAAGAAAATCTCATGATGACTTCATACAAACATATGAAACCTACACGTTTTGCAGGGAGAAACAGATACAGCGACACAGTGGCAATAAACCACAGCAATCTGGCTGGAGTTTTAAGGTTGGAAATCAAATCAGCAGTTTCGGCAAGCCATTCAATGTGGAACTTTAATGCATTAAACCGCACTATTATCTGCTAAAGTTGCAACGGTTGGTCTTTAAAATCCAAAAGTACAAAAGTCAAAAAGTACAATAATATGCAGCCACTGTCAATTAGAATAGAATATTATATGTGTATATATTAAATAGGGTCACCTTAAACTCACTAATAAAAAAGGAACTCAATATAATGTCAAGGAACATCGTAGTAACAGCATTAAAGACTTAAAAATTAATTTTATGGTTCCTTTTATATGATTTTATCTTGATATGATTTTACTTGAGTGCAAATCTCATTTTGATTTAGGCCTATATCTTTTCTAAATTAATCTAATTAATCTAAAATGTTAAATTTTATTGAGGCTAGAGGTCTACTCTACTAAAGCTATGACTTTATGACTAAACAATCTTACATTCGCTACTTAGTTTCCAGACTAGTTGTAGCACTTTTGTTTGTACAAAAGAAGAGTAGATTGTATTAGAACAAAAAAGTGAATAACATATCAACTTGTCGTGGGCTAAGTTTACAAAAAGTGTTTGACAAGTTTGAACACAAGCTTGTTAAACTCACTGTTGGCTGCCATAATGTCTTGGCAGCTGTAGCCTACACCTGTAATCAAAAGAGAAAGAAAAACAAACTGCAGTGTAGGTGACCCCATTCCTCCTCCTTAACCTCTTTCTGGGCGGACCTTCGTAGCTCCTCTCCACACCCCAGCTCGGGGGAACTTCAGCAGTCAGTGACTCTCTGGCTGCGCACGTGGAGAGAATACTATCGCAGCTGCGGTTCCACGCGCGCTCAGGTCCACTTTATGACTGCTTTTATCGTGTTATGTCGCGAGGCCAATGCTGTCAGCAGCGGCACGTTTCACGCATTTTTCCAGAGCCCTCGCGCGGAAGAAACATTTTGTAAACCAAAAAACTTGCTGAGGATGAGTCCCGCATAACCTCGTGTGTTGTTGTTATCTACCCCCTCCTTCCTTTTTCTTTTTCCCCTGACCCGCGCTCTCCAAGTTGAGTCATTGTATATAAGTATGGTAGATAAAGGCCCCTTGTTGACTTCTGCCATTATTTTTTATCTGTCCATTGGGGCAGCAATTTTTCAAGTCCTGGAGGAGCCCAATTGGAAGCAGGCTGCAAAGCAGTATAGTGCCCAGAAGGATAAAATACTTGAGGACTATCCCTGTCTGACGAACGATGATTTGGACAGAATATTAGAGGTATGGACTCGTTCTTAAACTGAACATTTTTCCTGTCAGTCCACATGAAGATGATCACTGTTTAAAGATTGGATTGCTGCAGTTTTCTCTTGACTTGAAAGGGGTGACACATGAGCCGCAGCCGGTATGTAAGCCTTCACCAAACACTGTGCTTTCAAACCTAACAAAACTCCAGAGGAATGAGATGTTGTCACTGTGGGTCAATACACTCACACTTAGTTTATGAGCCTGAACTGTAAAGCACTATAACAGCAACATGTCATGAATAAAATTCCCTGAAAAGGCTGGTAGATGTTATCTGGTGTTATCTTTTTTTATTACACATCAGTTAACGTTCTGTCTCAAAACTGACTGTTGGGAGCAGTCATTATGATAGTCTGCTAGGTGTGGGGGGCCAATCTGTAACATCAGCCCTGAAAAGCTGCAGTACATGGTTTTTCATTGCCCATTTCTTGTCAAGGTGGCAATTCCTTAACCGGCGGCAAAAGTGGTGCCTTCGACCTCTGTGGTTTTACAATCGACTCTGAACAACCAGAGTATGTCAACACTCCTGTGATTTCGCAGGTGTGTGCCCCATGGTATGTTGTTTGTTCACTCCTTGAAATGTGGAGGCTTCACGATCTTTCCATTTGTCTGAGATGTTTGAGTATGACAAGAAGAAAATCTATACGTGTCATGAGCAAAAGAAAAGGAAGACTTTATATAGGACTGTTTTCCTGATATATGGAGTATGCAACATGCCATCCAATCCTTTTCTGCACAAATAAGACTGACAATTGTTACTTTGTGTCAAGACAAGGATTTCAGGCATTATTGCTATTCTGTTTATTTTTCTTTTTGCACTTGCAAGTATAACCAGACATATGTATACCTGTGCGTCTTTTGTGTGCCCACCCCCCAACTTTCTCTTCCTCCCTCTGCTTTTCCTTTTTCTGTTTTGGGGGGACTGAAAGTGATATGCCCATGAACAGCCCCCAACCCCCGGCCATGGAATCTCTGTAATCTGGCCAAATCTGCTTCTGAGTGTAGTCGTGGATATTATGGTTGAGAGATTTTGGAAATTTCCCGTTGGCAGTTGCTGAAAGAACTGTGCTTTTGGTTGAAGTCTTAGAGGCAGCTCAACTGAAACTGAATCATCCTGCTCCTGTGCGCTCTCTGTGGGACAAAGGACACATAATGCCATCTGTGGGGTTTCACAGCACTTTAAAAAGATAATATAAAATCACATGCTTGACTTCTTCACCCTTTCCCCAGTCAGTTGCGCTGTCCTGTTATCATTCTAGAGCCTACCAGTAGTAGACTACCAGTATTTTTCCTCTGGTGGTGTTGCCAAGACACCTGCTGCAAAGGCTTTGGAGTCAGTATATTAAAACAGATACACACACACACACACACACACACTAGATCACCCTTGAGTTGCCATTATCCACTTTATTTGCGTTAGAAGCACAGATTCTATGAGGTCTCCATTGTGGAAACTTTGCTCAGCTTGTTAACAATTAAAATATATAAGCAGGCTTAAGAGGAGAAGGCAACTCGCTTGTAAAAGTTAGTCTTCTGTTTTATTAACAAGTTAACTGTAGGACCCTTGAAGATTGGATTTTATGGTCCATCAATGTTGGTTCTTAAGAAGCTGTTATAAAAGTTCAGTTTGGGGAGGGGGTTGCATATCTAGCATTGCCCAGAAGTACTGTTGATATAGGTTTTCCATTATAAAGTTTCCAGCATAGCACACAGTTCTTTAAACTGTACTTGACCACATGTGTGTTCTGTATATCTCATGCTTAAAAAGTAGTGTGTGTTTTCACAGCTCCCTCTGAGTGTTGAGTTAATGCAGCGCAAACTGCCAAGTGTACCATCATTTCCTCAGTTGTGTTCTTTAGTGCTTACACTGTTACAGCGCCAAAATATTTAAATTTAGCAATTATTGACGCTGATTTAGAGGGAAAAAAAGATAGTTGGAAAGATTAAGCTATAGATAACTATTTTTCAGGTTTCAGAACAGTCAGGGGAACCTTAAAGAAAGACCCTTTCAAATTAAATTAAATACTTATCATTGTTCACTTATTAGCATGTCAATGGCCATTCAATGCATAAAAGTAGGGCCACAACTAACTATTGTTTTCATTGATTAATCTGCTGATTATTTTCTTTAGTCTATGAAATGTAAAAAATTGGGGGAAATGCTACTCACAATTTCTTAAAGCCTGTTGGTGGCTTCGGTTTGTTTGTTTGCTTTGTCAGACAGACCGTTTTAAACCCAAAGATAGTGAGTTGGCTGTTACATATGACAACACCAAGTCCTCACATTTGACAACCCAGATCTAGTGAATGTTTGAATGCAAAACACTTCAAATTCTTTCAAAAAAGTTCAGCAGCAATGTGTTGTAGGTTTCTGCAGAAGAAAAATGCAGCAATTTGAATTATCTTTCATAATAACAATAGGTTTTGCCTCTTTTTTTCTCAGGCCAGAATGTCTTGACCCAGGGTCAAGAGTTACCTGTAATGAAGAAAATTGTAACCAGATATATAAACTTTAAATGAACCCTTCTTCAGTGCGGCTTTGCTTTGCACGTGTTGCCTCTTGACTTGGCAATGGAGCATCACGTTATTGGATTTCACTTTTTCTGTGATAATGCTTTTGCACGTGACTTAAAGATCACATTTGTGCCAAATAAGAAGTTTTCAAACACTTCTCAACACACTGCTGTCACATGCATAAAGCGAAACTTTGCCCCTGGTAAGAATGGATAAGCAAAAGTGAATGAAGTAGCACTCTTGTTTTTGTGCATAGCTAACTTTGTCATGTGCCTAGGGTGTTGTTTAGTGGCTGCTGGCTTGAAATAGCCAAGTCTTTCTTCCTCTTTTGAAAAATGTAAAAGAAATTGCACTAAAGACATGGAAGGTAGCAATGTAGTTTGGGCAGATGCAGATGCACTGTACATTGTCAGTAGAATTTCAGAATGTCACTGTTTCAGCATACCAAATGCAACCAATCTACACTGTAACTTGCAACAAGGCGAAACCAAGTTTCAATTGAGTGTAATTTACTTAGCAACTCAACTCGAAGAAAAGAATAAAGAAAAATACCATATGTGGTGTAAATGAAGTATTTCAGTCTCATGCGGTATTAACAGCCTAGTTTACCACTCACAAATCTGTTACTGGTGTAATATGTGCTGCTTAACAGATGTAAGGATCCTTTCACTGTCTGGGATTTTTACAGCTTTCCCTTTTTTTTCTTTACCGATTCCAGAAAAGGCTGTAAAATTGTTGTCTGTACTTTTTTAATTAGGATCAGTTTCTTCTTAATGTTATTTTGTAAAGATTGGTTTTGCATTGGTGCACACACAGTGAAATCTCAGCAGTTTCCTGGGTGCATTGTTTGCAACGCGCCCATTTCAGCATTCAGAAATCAATACATAATGACATGGAAGAGCCTGAGTGACTTCATTGTTAGTCAGTCAATCCTGCCCACAAGTGAGGAGAAATGCCAAGCAACAAAGGGTGGTATGCTGGGCTGCCAGCTGTCTTGATAACAGTTGTCGTTTGTCATTGTGGTTTTTACTGTTCTTTGGTTATCATAGTGGGCCGGTGGCAGATTGCTAAGCCTGCAGTTTGGCAATATTTTCAGATCAGTTCCACTAAAGAAAAGGAACCGTTTACTTGAAGTGTGTGGTGCAGACTCTGTTTTGGTCATGGGATTTGGGTGACGTGTGTTGTGGTTTGGCTGCTTTTTATGGCACCACATTGTAATTCCAATATTAATGTAAGCCAACAGAATGTATTCCATATCAAGCTATTTTCAGAACATTGTGCAAACAAGTTATTATGGATGTCTAACTTAAAATATTGTCTAAAGCTCAACAGTTGATTTCCTTTTTCAGTTTAACCACATTATTATTATTGCTGTAATCATTGCTTCGTTTCAGGAAATATCATAAAAGCCCAATAGAACATTTCCAAAGGTCTTAAGAGATCTTGCACAGATTAAAAAGACTGTTCCTGCTACCACCCTGCATTCTCTCTGTAATGTTTTTTTCCATTTACTGCAACTTGAGCTGCCCACATAAACCGCATAAAATGTTTAATATAAGTTGTGTGTATTGAAAGAATTAGTAGCATGTTGTGCCTATACACGGCATAGCCTAAAGTGATACTTTCCACCACACTTGTCATCTTTTGTGTCTATTTTTGTCAATTCATGATATGATAACTGAGAATGTACAGTTCACTAACCCTGATGCAAATTGTCTCATATTTAAGACTGCAACTAATGATTATTTTCATTATCTTTTTCATTAATCCTGCAATTTTTTTCCAATTAATCATTTAGTCTGTAAAATGGCAAACAACAGTGGATAAATGTTCACTGCAATTCCCAGGCTCCACGGCGACATCTTCTAATGTGATGTTTTTGACAGCTCTAATCATATTCACATAAACGTTTGTGACTCAGTATAGGTAGTTGTTTGTAGTATTTCACGACCGTGCATTGTGTACAGTGATGAGTCAACCACAACCCAAAGTGCTTTTGAAAAAACTAGGATGTCTTGCTGCCAATAAATTCTACCATTTCAGTAATGCAGTGCACCAACATACCGAGAGTAATTCAGTCTCACTAATGAGCTGAGGCAGTCTTTTTGTGTCTGATGTTTCATTTAATTCAACACAAAATTTTCCCTGCTTATTTCATTTGTCATGCACTGGCTGTTCAACTTGGCAAAATACAATTTTGCTGAACGTCATTTGGAGAGATTTATAACTACAAAATTTCTTTACCAAGATTGCTAGATAATTAATAATAGAAACTGTTTTAGAGGAGCATCTTCTACTGATGGTGTTTCCTATGGTCATGGTGGTTTGTCCATTAGTGATAGATTACATTAGTGATATACAATATTATTGTTAAAAAGTCATGCCAATAAAGCTAATTTGAATTGAATTGATAGACTGATTAATTGGGTCAATATCTGGCATTTTGAGATAATTGAGCACACGAGGCTGATACACTAAAAATGTCTACAGACACATCTGTAGACAGCCTTGTCAGTGTGGCTGCTGTAGAACCATGTTAGCGCTCTCTGAGTTTTGAGAAGGTGGTCAAAAGTTAGTTTTAAGCCCTAAATGTCCTCGGTCACCACTGTCTTTTCTAAACATCCTAAATGACAGCAGATCTAATCTTAACACCATTACTGACTACCGTTGAATATATAATATTATACTGTAGAGAATAAGGCAGCTGATTGACGTCACTTCTGACAAACTGTACCCCACTCTCTTATGAAATCGGCAGCATAACCCAATGTGTTTTTTTTTTATTTTAGTAATTAATAAAAATTAAAAACAAAAACAACACTCTACTGTCTTCAGTAGCATGTATATTAGATGGTACACTGCATGGAAAATGGAATTATACATGACTTTTCTTTGTTTTGATATCTGCATTACATATACGCCATCATCACCCTGCTCAATAAATATCGGCACCGGCCGTTGACAAACCCATATCTGTCAAGCACTAATATTCAGTGGGTAGCCTTGGTCTGATATCCCGTCACCCAGTGGTCAGGCTTGCAGAGAAGCCAGTTTAACAGTTCCTCCTGAAGCCTGTTTGTGCTCAGTTTGACACAAAGTGTCTTCTGTTTTCCTCCCTTGTGCTTGTGCTTTTTGCCTTATTCTCAGGGTTATTTGTGACCTGAAGTGAAAGACAAGACAGTTAAACGGTAACAATCTAGGATATTTAAAGATTTGCCCTGAACAGTGAACATGTTAACCTCTACGCTTTCATTTTAGAGGTTATTATTATCCTTATCCTTTATTTGAGTGACTTACTATGAGGGCATGGTGCTCACTCCCATGATTTAGCTTGCACTCTGCCCTCATTGTATTCCTGTGAGTCAGCGTTTTGTTTGTCTCCAAATTCAGCACTTTTTATCTGGCAGATGAACTGTGAACATCTCTCTGGGATCTGTAGGCTGAAACAAGGTGCAGAGCTGAGCACACACGCAGACCACTGACATGACACACAAACAAAACAGTTGTCACTTTTTCCACATAGCAAACAAACCTCAAACACCCTATAGCTAGTGGGGTACAATGACATACAGTATTGGCTGCACCAGAGGAATGAATGAATCAATGGTTGTTTGGGGGATTTACCAAAAGCTGTCTAAACATGTCTTTCCTTTGTATATTAGATGTAGCCAAGTCTACACAGTTGGACGGTAAATGGAGCCAAACATTTTTCTTTCTTTCTTTTTGTAGGTAGACTGTTATATTTGGGCGACTGTAGTGTTAACTGGTTCGTCAGGTCAACAGGGACATGCAGTTGTGGGATATCAAAAGTTCCGGTAATCAACATATGTCAAATAAGAGTTTAGCCTGAACATGGCCAGTAACACGGTTAACCCATGCATATAAATGTAACCAGTAATTACAGATGCTGTGGACTGTCTGGAGGACTGTCAAACGTGAACGTGCGTAAGCATGACAGTTGTCCACTTGAGTGACTCTTTAATTTCTGGTCATTGTTCGAACACAAACTTGCTGTCATCCTAAAGCCCAACAGAGGAACTGTGTTGTTTCAGCAGACAAAAGAATCGCCACCCCTTGGACTGGTAATTACAGAGCAGAACTGTCACAGACCTGTTATTATTAAACAACCAAGCATCTTCCAGTACTTGAGGGCTTATGCGAATTTTGCCAACCCCTGCATATTTCCCCTCTTTCAAGCACATTTGTAGAAAGAAGGACTTTGGTGTGGGGGGAATGCATTGTCCCCCCACCAGTGGCCAGGGGTTTGTGAATACCCAGCATGGGGAATTCAGTTTCTGTTGTGGCTGTTCAAGCACACACGTGGTTGGGAATGATTGATTAAGCATTTTCTGTCTCCTCTAGATGTCGACACTAAAACTTCCCTTCAAGAGTGAGCTGATGGCATCCCATGTTCTAGGTGGTTAGAGACGAATATTGCCTGTGGATTAAGCAAAAAACCCAAAAAACAGTGCCCTTATTTTCCTGGCAAATTTCTTGTATTGTACGTATTCAGTCCAACTTCTTGAATCTTAAAAAAGAAACACAAGAAAGAGCATCCACTAAAGAACCACCTGGTGCTTTTTGAATACACTGCATCATCGGGTGATTATGAAATCACTGTTTATGGATACGGTACTTGCCTTCCTGTTTCCCTACCACTGTTAAGGAGTGGTTGGAACTATAAAGCCCTCAGGTTAGCAGCGATTCTCTCGGGTGCCTGAGTGTCGTTTCAGCTCATCAGTACCACTGCAGATAACCATCGGCATATCAAAGGAAGGATATGGTGGAAAAAATAAAGCTTACACACGACACACTTCCTGTCTTCCTTTAGCTTTTCCAGCTTGGACTCGTTTCTAACTGCCAATTGATAGCATCCATTTGTTTAGCCTCCATTACTTTCTCTTTGAGTTGAATTAAAGCTTATACTTTATTCTTCCCTGTCCTCAGGTGGTGTCTGATGCTGCAGGCCAAGGGGTCACTATAACTGGCAGCAAGACCTTCAACAACTGGAACTGGCCAAATGCTGTTATCTTTGCCGCCACTGTTATCACTACTATTGGTAGGTAGTTTTGGACATTCAGCAGTGACCGATCTAATTCAGAAGGGAAAAGAGGCACTGTTTTAGTTGTTTTGTCAAACTTTACTTGAATATTTAGGAGAGCATGATACTGAGTGATGTTAAAGTGGTTGGCAGAAACATGCACTGAGCTGTCAGCCTGTCTTAATTTGTTCCATTGGGACAAACTCGATTGCAATCAACTGCGGGATGTTTTGCCAATGAGTGTATCAAATGGACAGGACAACAACACAGATGAGATGGGCTTCCATTAAGAACCTTTATTGGCGGCATGGCTTTTGTAATTACCCACTCCTCCTGTAAAGCCATACTAAAGAGACATGCATACACCTAACCTTGCCCGTCACACTAACCACTCTGTTTTCACTTTCATTTAAGGATATGGGAACATTGCCCCTAAAACGTCAGCAGGCCGCGTATTTTGCATCTTCTATGGGCTGTTTGGCGTGCCTTTATGTCTCACCTGGATCAGTGAGCTAGGAAAGTTCTTTGGTGGCAGAGCCAAGCATCTGGGCCAGTATCTAACCAAGAAAGGATTTTCACTGGTAAGTTGATATGAGCTTTTTTTTTTTTCACTTGTGTGAAAAGTACTTGGTCTCTCTCCGGTAACACAAAGCCTTCACCTAAAGTAATGTTGTCTCTGTTTTTTCCCCAGAGAAAGGCTCAATTTACCTGCACTGCTATTTTTCTCCTCTGGGGTGTGCTGGTCCATCTAGTCCTTCCACCTTTTGTATTTATGTCCCAAGAGGGTTGGACATATATTGAAGGCTTGTACTTCTCATTTGTCACCTTGACCACAATTGGCTTTGGGGACTTGGTAGCAGGTAAGCTGGGAAATAAATCATTTTAAAAGCTATGGTTTAAAGCATAAACAAACCCCTTTATCACATTTCTGAGATGGTTTTTGATTTGTTGTCGATCTCTTACAGGTGTGGAACCAAATAAAGAATACCCAACGCTGTACCGTTACTTTGTGGAGGTGTGGATTTATCTGGGGTTGGCCTGGCTTTCTTTGTTCTTCAACTGGAAAGTGCGGATGGTGATTGAGGCCCACAAGGCCCTGAAAAAACGGCGCAAGTTGCGCAAGCTATCTCTTGATGAGCTCCGGCACTACAAGGAGTCTCACAAGGCTGCCCTTAGTTTGCCTCCCAGTCCTAATGACGTCAACATCTTCGGCTTCCTGTCCAAGAAGCAGGAAGGCTACAATGACTTAATCAAGCAGATTGGCACCAAAAAGGATGGCAGAAGTGACGGTGACCGTGCCACCACCATCAATAAATCCAAAGAGATTGGTCGCTCCCAGAGTTGCAATGATGCTCCCATGTTTAATGGTCACACCATCCTCAGTCTGGACCGCTCACCACGCCAGAAGAGACGTTACAGTTTCAGTGACCGTGTCACCGTTGCTTTTTCAAAGTCTAAGAACTACCTCCTGGGCTCGGACAATGGTTTGCTGCTAAAAGAGGACCATGTAGAGGGTGACCTAGAACTTGACCAGGACCAAATGTATGAGAACCAGCTTGACAAGGACGTCGATGTAGAGAACTTAGGAGTGGGGGGGGATGGTGGAGCAGGTGGTCGAAGGACATGGGACTCTAAAGATTACCATCCCCTCACATTCCAAAACGCAAACATTACTTTTATAGATGAGGAGAACTTTCTCAGCAACAACTTGGAGGAGGAAGAGGAGGAGGAGGATGAAGACGACGATGATGATGATGATTCTAAAGCGAAACTATCCATTACTACATGTGATGAAAACATTGAAACAGACTCCAAGGAGGAACAAAGTTCTGAATCTGAAGAGTCTGTGTTCACTAGTGACTGTTCAGAACATGGCCACTCCTATGAGAAACTCGTAGAGGAATATGCAAAGGAAGAAAATACAGAATCTTGATCTTCTGTTACCGGGTGGGTTGGTATTGAAGTATATGTGTTCTAATATAATTTTTTTTTTTTTTAAAGAATATCAGAAGTCCCATTGCCTTTTGGGGGTCTGATAATGGTAATGAATGACTCCAAAGCTAAGATCAAATTTCAAATGAATGTTCTGTTCTTAGCTGAGAAATGAAAATCCACATCACTTTTGACTATTTTTAAAAGCTTCTTATAAACTCATGAAAAAATATGTCCTACTTGTTAAATATGGACTACAGAGCATGACATGTAGCCCCATGAGTAATTTTTAACATTTGCTCTATTTAAGTCTTTTTTTACAGTTTAAGAAACTATACGCACATTTATTGTAATGCCCAAACAAATAACTATTTTTCATGAGCGCCTTTTTCCCCCACTCATCGACTGGTAAGACATATATTTGATTTAGTTTCTTCTATGAACATGCACCATATTGGTGTTTTTATAATATTTATTAAAATGAAGGATACAGTGGCTACATGGGTTTATATGTCTCCCATTGCACAATTCTACCAAATGAGGACAGTTCAAAGTCTATTTTAGTGCAGATTGTCTTTTTTAAAGGGCATGTTTTTCTCCTTTGGTATTTCATTAGTTTCTTTTGTGAAGTCCTTGATAACTTGTTGCGTCTAAGACTGCTGTGTATTTTGACTTCAAGCAGTAGAACTGTGACTGGACCAGAGGCCATCAGTGATGCATAGGCAACATGTGGGAGTCTAGAACCAACTGAGAGGAAAATCATTTGTTTTACCAACAGAGAAGTATTGTTGGCAAACTCTGAATATCCTGCCAGAGAGACACTCTAAACTAAGATGTGTTTGCCTTTTTAAAATAACTTTTTTGACTGCAAAAAAACCCCCAATCTGCTTTGGAAATTATCTTCCCATTGTGACAGCAGATCAGATTACACTCAAACTGAAGACATGCTTTATTGGTTTTTTGCTGGCAGCGTGTCAGGTATATGTGGTGTTAGGCTATCTACCAGTACATAATGGGAACAAAACTTTCACAGCAACAATATTCTAACTTTTTATCTCTTTCTCGTTATTGTGTTTGCCCTGTAAATATTGGCTGAAAGCCCATCAATGGCCACAAACACAGCTTTGCTCAAGACATGACCTTGCTACTCATGTTTACCTTTGGGGGCTCGCACTGGCGTGAATGACTGAAGTACCGCTTGTGACCGGCAGCCAAGGTTAACTTGTAACAGATCAATGCCCTCTTGACGTACATTTCAGTCATGAGACATAAGGTCACCAGTGTTGGTGCTTTCAATTACTGTATTATATTTCTTCCTAATTTCATGTGAACACCAGTAAAAACTCAAGAGACCGAACATTGATTTTCACAGTCTCACTTTTAAAAGGGCACTTAGTTACCCTGCTCACCCACTGCCTTTTGCACTTTAACTTTTTGCATGTTAACTTCTACAGTAAGACACAGTAAGATGGCAGTGTTTGCAGTGTCACACAGGCCTACTTTGAATTTAGAACCAGTTTCCTCATTCAAGCCAGTTGGATAAAAATATGGTCCAATGTTTGTGTATTTTTTTTTGTTTGATTTTTGTGAACACATGGACCACACCATCCTAACTCCTAACCAATGACTATAAAGTGAAAATACCTTAAATCCACTGCAAAACAGAGGATATACAGTAGAATGTCACATCTACAGTATTGAATGTACTTGTATTGATTTAGTGACAAGGTCTAATCTTTCACACTGGGTGTCTTTTCTGTTTTCTCCACCTCCCCCTCTTGTATTTTGTCACAGGGCTACCACTTTCCACCACATTCCTCTCTGTCATTGTCATTGGTTTTCCTTGATGTGTTAGCATAGCATTGTTATGCATTCATGGTACTTAACTGGACTGAATTTCAAGCCTGTCTCTCTAGAGTGATATCAAAAGAGGTTAGGTGGGTTTAACCCATTGTCCCAAGTTTTCACGGTGCTCCTGATAGTTTAAAACTCCATTATAGTTGTGTTTTTAGTTGTCTTTTTATGATTAAATTATTCATGTTTGTAAAAGTTTGTATATGAATCCCAAACAAAATTGTATATATTTCATGTAAATAAACATTTAATAAAACTTAAGTGTCTTACAATTTAATATGTATGTGTACTAGAATGTGTGTTTACATACAGTACACGAAACAAGGCTGCTTTTGCAGCACATGCAAAGTCATGCACTTGTAGTGCAAACAGTCAGTGTGGTCAAGTTTAGGCTGCACACAGATGTCCACACAGGGGTCAGGGTGGACTCTCACAGACTTGTGCCGATGCCGAAATTTATATCATGAATACCCATGCGACCGTACAAACCATGAATTGGCCTATACTTATGTGGAGATCTACTAAGCAGTTGTCTAATGTCTTTACTGGCTCTAGAGGGAACCTTCTCACGTTTAAAGAATTAACTCTGATGACGCCGTAAGTGTAATCTCGCTTGGAATTGAGCCTCACATTTTAGCTATGCTAATGGCCGGTCGATCCACCCCTTTGGTCCAGACAGGAATATCAACAAATATGCCAATACGTATAAGATGGATTCACAGAGAGGATGCATCCTATTGACATTGGTGATCCCCTGACCTTTACTTTAGCATCATCATTGGGCCAAAATTTCAATTTGTCCAATACTTGACCATACTAAATTAATGATATCCCTATTTGCCTCCACTGTTACCATTGTCATTGTGGGCATCTTAGCATTTAAAGTAATGAAAGTCGCTACTGAGTTGTGATATGGGAAATATAAGAGCAAGTGTTTTTAGAGTTTGACCCACACTAGAGACTAAAAGTCAAGGTATTTTGGCAGTCTTTTTAAAAGAAGTTTTTCTTGTTTATGGAGCTGAAGTAGCGCTTTAACAACCTTGAAAAGTCAGCTTTGTACTTTTACTTATGTGTTTTTTAGTCTTACATGTAAATAGAACCTGAATTAATATTGGAACAGATCACATTGTGTGGTATTTCCTTGCTTTATGCAGCCAAATGTATGCAGTTGGTTGTCTTGAGCATGCCCATAGCAACCATGAAGTGCAAAAAAAGTAAGAATGACAATACATCAGTCCTTTGAAATAGGCAGCATTTTTTTTCTTTTGCAATTGGCAGACATCAGTAAAATGTGCTTATTTTTTAAGAGTATTAAATGTGTGTTCTTGGATCTTGTGCACAGTCCAGCCTGTATTATTGAATTGTACTTTCAGGAACATCTACATTCAAAATGTATTTGAGAATGCAAGGGTGCCATAATTATAACACTTTAACCCAAAGATGTTATCTGCCTAGACTCTTGCAGATATTCTTATGAATTTACACACTTCTAAAGGAGCAGAACGCTGGTATGCTGATAACCAAATAATGAGTAATATTCTAAACTCACAGGGTGATTTCCTGCAGCTACATTATCAGTACTGGTTTGAAAGTCACCTCAACAGTTTATGTTAGAGCATCAGTTAATGATTGGAATACGCGTGAATTTCAATAAGTGTGGAGCCAACGACTCAGGCTGTAGACAAATCCTTATCTGTCATCTGATATCTTCTTATCTGACATTAGATTAGCGTGTGCATAACAGTCGGTTGTCATTGGCATTTCTACCATCAATGTTTGACTAGAATGGGTGGTGTTGGAGAACCTTCACCTTTATAAATAACTAATAAATATATTTGTTAACCTAACTGATGATGGTTACTGAACCAAACTCAATGTGTCACTCCGAAAATGTGCTGAGCCTGGTGGAAACCAGAATGTCTCCTGTTCCTGTGGGATTCCAGGCACAACATAAATCACGCCTCTTTTATGACTTCAAGTTCCTCACTCTGAAGTGTGGTTACAGACAAATTACTATGGATACTGTAGCCATTTTTGTTAAATTATCCTAACCTACAGAGAATTATCACCTGACTCTGCAGCCTCCCCCCCCCCCCCCCCCCCCCCCCCCCCACCTGGGTTTATGGAGCTTTCTATTGAGTTTCAACTCATTGTTTAGCTGTTCAGCCCCAAATTACTTTTCTGGTTCACTTTCACTGCTCGCAGTTTTTTAGGCTGTAGCTGTTTTCAGTGCAAAAGCTCTTAAAAACCAACTGTACACATCCTGTCAGACAAACTTTGACATCTAAATTTGTGTGTGCGTAGGACCACATAACTAAAGTAAATAGATTTTCAGGGTCTTTAATCACAGTGACAGATCTCACAAGCTGAACAAAATATTCCACACATTTTGGGGGTATTATTGAAGCTTTACTTACTTACAATTTTAATTTAACCATGGGTGACATGATGTTACTTGGAAATCCTGAATATACCACAAAATGTCATTTAAACTAACTGCGCAACCACAGAAAGTTAAACAAAAAATCACTGTAAACTTTAAGCAATCATATTGTCAGCAATGTGAGAAAAATGTTATATTACGCTTGTCCAGCAAGGATTAGATGACTTAACAGGAGGTGCTAGACATTCACTATGTGCCAAACGTCACAGTTCAAGTGTGGACAAGGGGGTATGTAAGGCTTGTCTCATCATCAAAAACACGTCACTGTATGAATGTCCAACTTAACATCAAAATTGCAATTTAGGAAATGCCCTGGGGCAGTGAAAATTACCATTTGCTCTTTAAATAGTCTCAGAGGGGACTCAAAGGGATGATTCAGAGCCAGTGTTGTCTGTTGATTACTTGAAAAAGGGTGCTACAGTATATATTTTGTTTCATGGTTGTGAATGTCCTCATGCTCATTTTGCAGTAACCGCAGGTAAGGGAGGATCAGAGTGTCTTGTGTCTTCTGTTTCATAGCACTTAAACTTTACACACTTTACCACAACGTCCGCAGTCATGATTTTGTATGGGTGGGGGTTTTTTAAGAGCGAGATTAGATGAGGATAAGAGATCAGGAGATGTTTGCTCTTATGGAAACTTGCATCAAAACCTCACTAAACATTGACAACTTTACAGTATAATTTAGCATATACATAAACTGGCAAAACATTTTAATTGAGCACCTAGAAATGTCTATTGCAGAGTTCAGGGAACAGATTTTATTTGTCATAAAAGAGTTACCACATGACTGTTTGACCTTTGGACATATATTACTGTCTCAAAGCTATCCATAAGATTACAAAGAAGTAGGTTGTATGGTTTATATGTATTATAATGTATTATATATATAATAATTATTTATATAAAATAGTGGGATAAATCAACAGTGTTTATATGTAGAAATGCAAAGGAACTATGGTTTCCACTAGATGTAAAAAGCAGGTGCAATGAGCGGAAGTTTTACACAGATAAGTTGAATGACATAACACAGCCATCCACCATGGGCCAAAGCTAATACCCCACATTGTCTTTGAGAGAACAGTCAAAACGTCTATGATGTTTTTTCAAATGTTCTTTTATATGATACTAAATTTTTCACACTCAGACATCTAATCTTTTCCTTCCATAAGTTGAAGACAAGAAGACTAATATTGCACTCCGAGTAACCTGTAGGGTTTTCACACTGCATCGACATGTGTCTGTTTGCTATTTGGAGAGTCAGATTATGCAAGAGTTCTGAATCCTGCCAGCGTGGTGGCCACCGTCTTTCACACCGCACTACTTCCTTCAAAGTCTGTATTTCCCAGATGTAGTGTGTACTTGTAAAGAGATTACGGCAAGGCAGAGTTCAAGACTGGTTGGCAAACACACTTAAAATCAGAACATACAGCAACCAAATCAAATAGAAGTTGTCATTGTGTCTTATGTGTCAATAAAAATTCCACTCCACAGTCATGTGGTACAAGTTGTTTCTTTGAATAGCAAAAACAAGCAACACAAAACAAACCTCAAGGTGCTCATGGTCTCAAGGAGACACTCAGTGTGTCTGAATAAATCAATGACATCTCTCTTTGTGTGTATCAACAACACCTCCATCCTGGGACAGAATGATGCCAGCTCACATCCTTGACAACAAAGGAAGAGGAGGAACCAGATGGAGAGTTGTTTCTGTGGATTGTAAAACAGCAAACGTAACATAAGCAATGGCACAGGGCGGGGAAACGTGACTGAGACGGGTCCGAGGACCTTTCTGACACCCAATTGTTTCCTGAGTTTCTGTGTCCGGCCTTCCGGACCGGAAACTTTTGGGCACCCCGAGAGGTGAGTTTGTATTTGTGTGTCTGTGTGCGCATGCACTATAGCGTAAGTTTGTGTGTGTGAGAGGGCGAGGTGGGATTGTTAGTGAAGATGCAGGAAGTACACTGGCAAAATGCCCATTGCTTTTTAAAGACCGTAGGAGAGGATGGGAAAGAAAGACGCTGAGCAGTGTTGAACAATGCCAATAACAGCTGGCCATGTTGACCACAGGAATCACAGTATGTTCACAGAGGAAAGAAAGTAGTATCCATGACGTCTGACCTCACAAGACTCCACTAATATGTGGGGTCAAGAGAGTCCAAGAGTCACAAATGGCTTTGAAAGAACTGAATGTTTTGGCCTTGGGAACATTTACACTAAGGGTCGCCACTCACGCTCACACCCAAGGACAATTTAGGGTCACCAATCAATCTAGGCCGCATGTCTTTGGACGGTGGGAAGAAGCCGGAGCGAAACCACGCAGACACCATGCAAACTCCACACAGAAAGGCCGGGGCAACCGGGGTTTGACCCACGACCTTCTTGCTGTGAGGCGACAGTGCTAACCACTACACCACCATGCTGCCCAGGTTCATTATGTAACCTTCTTTCTGAACTGTCCAGACCTTTATAGTGTAATTGTTTGAGTGCATAGTAATGGCTCAGTTGTTAAAAAAAAAAAAAGCTTCTCCTACATCAACACACTGCACTCACTGCAGTATACCCTTGATAACCACAAAGAATAAAAGTTAAAAATTTTCAGCAAATCTTCACAAAGCAGCAATCAATAGGCCTATATATATATACAATATTCAGTTATATAAATACAGCCCAAAGTTTTGTGCCACTGTATTTGGAGTTTTGATAGAAACATGCTATAGCTGGGAGGAGAAAGAGGCCACCTGAAAAATGTTCCTCTACTGCCCTCTGGTGAAAACAACACACCAATACACTTCTAATAACAATACATCATATTGTA